AGTGGTGCCATCTCGGCTCACTCCAACCTCCACCTCCCGGGTTCAAGTGATTCTCCTGCCTCAGCCTCCAGAGTAGTGGGGATTATAGGTGCACACCACCACGCCCAGCTAGTTTTTTATTTATTTATTTTTTTTTTAGTTGAGACCATGTTTCGCCATGTTAGCCAGGCTGGCTTTGAACCACTGACCTCAGGTTATCTGCCCTCCTTAGCCTCCCAAAGTGCTGGCATTGTAGGCATGAGCCACCATGCCTGGCCCCCTGCTTTCTTTTCTAAGTAACATTTTTGAGCCTTGTCTCAAATAAGAAATTTTTTGGAAGAACATATCATTAAATCACTCATCCATTCCATGATGTTTTGACAAATTTACCTTTTTTTAACACATATTTTCTTAATATTGCAGTAGACCTGTAAGTAACAATGCTGGGCTTCTGTTTTGTTTTCTATTGTTTTTCCCCCAGGTTCTCCTCAAAATCTAAGTCTATGGACAAATCCGATGAAGAACTCCAGTTTCCCAAAGAGTTGATGGAGGACTGGAGCACCATGGAGGTGTGTGTGGACTGCAAGAAGTTCATTTCGGAAATCATCAGTTCAAGCCGGCGCAGTCTGGTGTTGGCCAACAAAAGGGCCCGTTTGAAAAGGAAAACGCAGTCTTTCTACATGTCCTCGCCAGGCCCCTCGGAGTACTGCCCTTCGGAGAGGACGATCAGTGAGATCTGAGCCTCGTGCCTTTCAGCTGCCTTTGTGCTCAGAGTCAGTGTCCGTGCGCAAGAACACTGAGCCGGGCTGGCTCTCCTTTCTGTGGTTTTATTTAATAGGCTTGAATTTGCATTAGATCAGATTTTTGCTGCATCACATTATTCCACAGACTGAATGCTGTGTTCATATCGATTGACGATATGTGACAGGTCCGCCAATTGCTTGTTTGCACTGAGAGAGAACAGTTTGAAACTTGCTTTTGTGTGTGTGTGTGTGTGGCTTTGGAAGCCAGTAACTCCTTCCTTGGTTCAGTTCTTTACTATTCCTCGAATAATCTCCTGACTAAGGCAAAAAGAAGCTTCTCCTGTGAGAACCAGTCTAACAGAGATGCCGATGTCAGCACAGCCCTAAGCAGTAAGTCATATTGGCATTTCCATGTGACTGTGTTTCTATCCCGTGTACAGAGAGATCTAGAGCCCTACAACGCCAGGACCTGGGGGCTCACAGCACAGAACCTAGAAGCACCTGCTGACACTTTCCAACGGATTTTTGAATTACTGTTGCTTGGAGATGAAAATTACATAAGGGACTTTATGCCTGCATTCTAGTGCAAAACATCTGAAGAGCTGTACACCCTCAAGGGTGACTATTTCCCCTGAGTGGCCGTGTTGTCCCAGTGCCCTGGATCAGTATCTCCTGAGTGGGCGACAGGTCTTCATTTCCTATCTTGAATGTATTATGGTTACTAATAGTTTTATAATGGCGGTCTAAGAATTAAAGTTTTATGGGAGTTTCAGGACAAAGGAAGGCTAAAAGTTTGTCAAGAAGTTGAGCACATTTTGGTTACCTATGAGAAGGGTTGCAACAGCGTAGAGTGGCAGCTCTTGGCCACGCTGTAGAAATGAGCTGGAGCTCATGTGTTTTCAACTGCATTTTTCATAACTTTATAATACATCCATCTCGACTAAATTAAGCCACAATTTGTTACGTAGGGTCTCAAACTGAAATTTATTTTTATAAATGAATTTTAAAAGAAAAAATATCTACTTCTTTTAACGTTAGAAGAAAATTAACCTGCTGACAGGCAATATTTTTAGGGTGCTTTCTGCACTAGTTTTCCTTGTAAATGACTTGAGCGAGTAGGTTGGGTTTCTGATGAAAGTAGACTGGGGGTAGTATTGTATGCCTCAAATGTCTCAGTGTGTTTGGCCCATACTATGGGCTATACGTTATTTTGATATGCTTACAAATGACCAACCAATTAAATTGCCATTAATGTTCAGAAAATCTGTTAATGCACATGCACAGTAATTTCCTGAGAGCATAGGACATGTCTGTAGTCAGCTCCATGATAGCACCGTTTCATGAGAGGCATGGCGGCTGCATTTCATACCACATCAAAATACAGTAACATTTCTATACTAAATTAACAGTAATACCTCAGAACTGTTCCAGTAGTAGTTTTTAATGGATTGAAATTTACAGTTTAGTAAATGGCTTAAAATTACTTATGAAATAAACTTTACCAGTTGACTAAAATAATGCATGTTAACAGTGCGTCTGTATTTGCATGTAAAAGTGGGCCACCAGAGAACCCTTATTGATTACTTAAGTGTTTAAATTCTTTTAAAGACCCCTGTTTAAGAGCTTTAAGAATTATACTGGGTGAATCTCATTTATAAAACTTCCTAAGAGACAATCTGAACTCTATACTCCAGACAGTTAGGTGGGAGTATAAATCTACCCCCTTGATGACCCCAGGCTTGAGTTTTTAAAATGACTACCCAGAAGGGCACAAGGGGGAGGAAAAGGTGTTTGTATATGTATATAAATATGCACCTAGGAGAATGTGCTTTTTAAAATAATGACTACTGTTTTTATTAAAAAATAAGAAACTACACCCCCAAAATAAGACTTTCATTCACATTCATAAAACAAACATCTAGTAAATTTCTTTCACTTCAATTTATGATGCTGTATCGGATGAGTTGGGCATTACGATCACCTCTTATCACAGCATAGAACATACATTCTTCAACAGCATTAACAGAGTATGCCAGTGCATTAAAGAAGTCACATGGAAGGTGCATTCACACGGAACAATCTGCAGAAAGTGTGTAAGAAAGGGGACATGGTACAGTTAAAATTGTAGACATCAAATTACTGTCATTTTTTGTTGCCAAAACAAAGTCTTGCATTTAACCCCCCTTTGTACCACCCCCCTCAAAACTTCTAGGTAATTTCCATAGGGTAATTCGCTAAGAGCTTGTGGAGCTTGGTTTTAAAATCCTTAACCAGCCGGGCACGGTGGCTCACGCCTGTAATCCCAGCACTTTGGGAGGCCGAGGCGGGTGGATCATGAGGTCAAGATCGAGACCATCCTGGTCAACATGGTGAAACCCCGACTCTACTAAAAAAATACAAAAAAATGAGCTGGGCATGGTGGCGCGTGCCTGTAATCCCAGCTACTCAGGAGGCTGATGCAGGAGAATTGCCTGAACCCAGGAGGCGGAGGTTGTGGTGAGCCGAGATNGCAGGAGAATTGCCTGAACCCAGGAGGCGGAGGTTGTGGTGAGCCGAGATCGCGCCATTGCACTCCAGCCTGGGTAACAAGAGCAAAAACTCCGTCTCAAAAAAAAAAAAAAAAAAAATCCTTAACCTACTCTGATTGAGGCAGAGCTTCCTGTTCTTCCTTCCTTGTCCTGATTTCTTGTTCAGCTTTTACTTCTAATCCAACAACAAAAAAAAAATGTCTGGCTGGTCTCAGCTAGAGTCTGATGTGTCTTAGAGCATGTGTGCATATCTGAACCATCATTCTTACTCTCATCTCAGCTCCCTCCAGGCCTGAGCACCAGTTCCTTTTGTCCCATACATCATGGAGTCACACTATTAGGAAACTTGTGCTTCCCTCTCCATGGCTTAACTCTCTGTCAGTGTTGGAGTACATAAGAATGCTTGTAAATACTGTAATATATTTATTAATATTTGAAAGGAATTCATTCAGTGAACAGTTGGAATTAACTCTCCCAAGGCAAGTGAAAATTAAATGATTGATATGTACATTAATTTAACAATCTTACTGGATTTTAATTCTTAAGTATTTCAAATTAATTGAGAAGGTGGTTATGTAGGAGATTTAAAATGATCTTATGTTTAAAGAGATTCTGTTATTAGCACCATGAACTTGTACTATGAAATTTTTAAGCCTTTTATTTTTCTAACTATATTAATATAGGACTGGATTTTAGGTGTTATATAGGAAACACAAAAGTTTTAAATTATGTTGCTGTTTGTTAAAGCAAAATAGCAGAAAATTTTGTACATGCAAAATTGTTGAAGGACCACAGAGAAATGTGTACTACTGATGGGGCTTTTACTTGGCTTCCTGCATGTGTAAAAGTCGAGGTTTTGCTGGCATTCAGGGTGACATGATGGTACTAAATGTTTTCCATTAAAGTCTCCTATTTTAAAATTTATCTAGGGAAAAATAAAATGGCTTTCTATCATACCTTCTGTGTTGAGTTCCTATCATAAGACGGTGAAGTCTTTTGGTAACTAGCTGTCAGAAGTCATCTCGGTTGGGAAGGTAGAGTACTTTTATCATCAGCAGCCTGATCTTTGAAGAAATACAGTCTAGGCCGGGCATGGTGGCTCACACCTGTAATCCCAGTACTTTGAGAGGCAGGTGGATCACATGAGGTCAGGAGTTCAAGTGATTCTCATGCCTCAGCCTCTCCAGTAGCTGGGGTTACATGCGCACACCACGCCCAGCTAATTTTTGTATTTTTGTACGTGGTGGCCAACATAGTGAAATCCCATCTCTACTAAAAACACAAAAATTAGTCAGGTGTGGCAGTGTGTGCCTGTAATCCCAGCTACTGGGGAGGCTGAGGCACAAGAATCACTTGAACCCAGCAGGTGGAGATTTCAGTGAGCTGAGATCGTGCCACTACAGTCTAGCCTGGGCGACAGAGCAAGACTCCATGTCAAAAAAAAAAAAATGCAGTCTACAAGAACCGCCCTGGAAAAATTAACATGTTGCCACCACAAGTGACTCTGCTGTGTTATCAAGCAGCCATGAGTAGAAGAGTAAAATTATATAAAGAATAAATAGCATTTTATTATGTCATATATATGGAGACAAATCCTGTGGGAGATGGATGACGTTTTCTTTCACAGCTTCATGGAGGCATAACTGATAAAGCAGTAAAGCCCATATAGCTCAGTAAGCAGTCCGATACTGGCATTCCCATGTGACCATGTTTCCATCCTGTGTACAGAAACATCCAGAGCCCTACATGCCGGAACCTGGGGGCTCACCACACAGAACCTAGAAGCATCTGCTGACACTCTCCAACTGATTTTTAAATTATTTGCTTGGGGATAGAAATTACATAAGGGACTCTATGCCTGAGTCCTAGTGCAAAACATCTGAAGAGCTGTGCACCCACAAGGGTGACTGCTGCCCCAGCCATACACAGGCATGTCTCACCCCATGATGTGTGGCTTGTGGCGCTTCACAGGTGCTGAGTTTTTATGGTTTGTGGCAACCCTGCAGCAGGCAAGTCAGTCGGCTACATTTTTCCAACAGCTTGTGCACACTTTGTGTCTCTGTTTCACATTTTGGTAACTCTCCCAACATTTCAAGCTTTTTCATTATTACTGTATCTTTTATGGTGATCTGTGATCTTTGATGTAGCTATTGTAATTGCTTTGGGGTGCCATGAACCATGCCATATAAGATGGTAAACTTAATGGATAAATGTGTGTGTTCTGACCATTACCCTGTCTCTCTCCCTCTCCTCAGACTCTCCATTCCCTGAGATACAACAATATGGAAATGAGGCCAATAACCCTACAGTACAGTGGATTCTAAGTGTTAAATGAAAGAAAGAGTCTAAAGTCTCACTTTAAATCAAAAGCTAGAAATGATTGCACTTAGTGAGGCAGGCATTCAAAAGCTGAGGTAAGCCCAAGCTAGACCTTTTGCACCAAACAGCCAAGCTGTGAATGCAAAGAAAAAGTTATTGAAGGAAATTATAAGTGCTACTCCAGTCAACACTAATGATAAGAAAGCAAGCTGTGTGGTGCATGCCTATAGTCCTAGCTCCTCAGGAGGCTAAGGCAAGAGGATTGCTTGAGCCCAGGAGTTTGAGGCTGCAGTGAGCTATGATCACACCACTGCATTCTGTTCTGGGTGACAGAGCGAGAGTCCATCTTTAAAAAAAAAAAAAAAAAAGCCTTATTTCCTGATATGGATAATGTTTGACTGGTCTGGATAAAGTTCAAACAAGCCACATTTCTTTAAGCCAAAGCTAATCCAGAGCAAGGTTCTAACTCACTTCAGTTCTTCGAAGGCTGAGAGAGGTAAGGAGGCTGCAGAAGAAAAAGTGAAAGCTAGCAGAGGTTGGTTCATGAAGTTTAAGGAAAGAAGCCATCTCTATAACAAAAGTGCAGGGTAAAGCAGCAAGTACTGATGTAGAAGCTGCAGCAAATTCTCCAGAAGATCTAGCTATGATCTTGAAGAAGGTGGCTATACTACACATTTGCAATGCAGATGAAACAAGATGCAATGTAGGACTTTCATAGCTAGAGAACAGCCAATACCTGGCTTCCAGGCTTCAAAGACTGACGCTCTTGTTGGGGACTAATGCAGCTGATGACCTTAAGTTGAAGCCAGTGCTCATTTACCATTAGGAAAATCCTAGAGACCTTAAGAATGAAGCTAAATCTACTCTGCCTGTACCCTGTCAATGACTAACAAAGCTTTGACAGATGACAGCAGATCTGTTTACAGCAAGGT